TCAATAAGAACATAATAGATTTGAAGGCTGACAGTCTTTTGTGGTTTTGTGGCTGGAGGGTTCGCTGCGTTGCTATAAACTTACCGCGTTTTCAACTGAATGGGTTGTGGGCGGTTGGCCAGAGCCGAGCAGCTATTTTCTTGGTCAAAAACCGTCATGCCGCTGTGTAGCTCCATCACCAAGTTGTCTGGAACTCATCAAAAACGTGGCAACGAGTGCCGCTAATACACTCTTCGGCATTGCAATGGCGCCTAGACGCGCTGTGATCTGACTGGCTGGCCAGAGGCAACGAATTGCTGAGGCAATCACTGCTCCAGTGTGGCTGCCTGCACTAAAGCCGTTTACCGTAAAGTGGGTGGGATCTTCCTGCTCAGCCGGCTGAAGACACCCAAGCACGGCAAGTAGGCAACAAGTCGTAGCGGCTGTAACGAAAGTAGCTTCCACCAAAGACCACTGAAAAAGGCCTGGTGTGGCAGCCGTCGGTGAGCTGGGAGCAGCCGGGCTGCTTTCAGCAGCTGCGTACGTTGGTACAGGAGGGCTGCCTTGCCGTATCCGAGGTCTTCCCATTTCTGGCACGGATTCTGCGTGAGCGCAAAGAGGGTGGCGACTTCATGTACACCTGTCGACCAGCCACAGACAACACCCCATTCCTGATCATCAACGACATCTGCGGAAGAGAGTGACGGTCCGTAGACTTTCCCCCACAGGCGGACACATGCAATGGAAGTGCGGGGAGACCTCCCCTTCAAGGGCTCCTCCCACAATTGATCTGAAACACGGAGGGTAAGGGTGGGATGTTATGACCAATCCAGTGCTCATTAAGTCGTGCAATCATCCACAGGACAGTGACCCATAGAATTTCACCCTGCTGACGCTGGTTGATGGCTTCAAACACCTGTGGTCCATGCTTGTTGGCTTGAAGAAACTGCTCTTTTTCTCCCGGGACAAGACACTTGGGGTGAGCCAAAGCAACTTGCAGTTGCTCATACGGACATGCTTCAATGTCCTTGTGGATTGCAACAACCCCTCGCAGCTTGGCGACTTGACTCCAGGGCACAAAGAGGGGAGGAGACAGCCGTTGCGGACAGGGAGTGCATGGACTGGGGTCAGGTGCCTGACTACCCTGCGTCGAGTCTCGTTCGATTGCTTCAGTGAGTCGATCTGCTCTTCTGGCAGAAGTGTCAGACGAGAGCGTGGAAACTGACTCCACGTCTGCATCACCGTCCTCTGCCGGAAGACAGCTAAGACTGTCCCCCTGCAATTGTGCTGGAAAGAGTTCAGTCGATTGCGGACGAATTGTCCGCCACTTTAGCAGGCAGAAGCGCAAAGCACTATTTCCAGTTCTCCGGAGAAGTAGCCTGTAAATTTGCACCCACCAACTGGTTTCCAAGTCTCGATGACCCATGCTGGCGGCAGATTGGGCATGCCGAGTATAGCGATCGGCAGCGTTTCCCAACCCTGCTGCTCCAATTCTCGCAAAGCATCCTGCGCTCCAACTTTGGTCTTACAAGGACCAGACCATGCACAGGTTAAGGGCGGTTTGCATTGTTTTTTTTCCACGAGTACGGACGCCGTGTGGGCATGGTGCCCAGGTCATCGTTGAAGGAAGGGAAGAGCAGTCAGATGGTGGAGAAAAGAACAAAGACCCCAAAACCAACCCAAAACCAAGCACCCAAGCCCGCAGGCCGAAACTCCACCATCTTGTAGTCTTTCAAAAGAGTGCAAAAGTAGTGACGTCAATCACGTCAAGCCCAAGACGCGCAGTTCAAACATCCATATCCATGTCATAGGTTTGTGGTTTCTGGCGTCGTTGGTTTGCGGTTAGTTGAGGGAGTGGGATTCACTTAAACAATCAGCATGGAGGTTCAAGATATACTACCTATCTATGCGCGGGCGGCCGCAGAAGCTTCCGTCTAAAGGCCTTTGCCTCTTCCCTTGCCCTTTCACGAGTGCAGAGTGAGATTTCGAATTTCAATCCCATTGTCTTGGCAACACGATGTTCTGAACCCAAGCTATGAAATGTTCTGTGCTGTCTGTAGAGGCAGAGAGCCCGGGTCACTATAGGATCCGGCAACTTTAACGTTGGTATTACTTTTGGTAGTACATATAGATATGTCGATGTAGTAGGCCAAATTAGATGATGTGCGCGCGTGTCTTCGCGGGTCTTCGTGTCTTCACGGGTCTTTGTGTCTTTGTGTCTTCGTGTCTTCACGGGTCTTCGTGTCTTCGCCTCTTCGCGGGTCTTCGTGTCTTCCTGTCTTCACGGGTCTTCGTGTCTTAGTGTCTTCACGGGTCTTCGTGTCTTCGCGTCTTCACGGGTCTTCGTGTCTTAGTGTCTTCACGGGTCTTCGTGTCTTCGTCTCTTCGCTGGTCTTCATGTCTTCACGGGTCTTCGTGTCTTCGTCTCTTCGCGGGTCGGTCTTCGGGTCGGGTTGGCGCCCCTCGCCTCTTCATGAACACTTCGTCCCTTTATGCGTAAGATCTTTCAATTTACTTGTAAAGTAATTCCAGCATTCCAAAGTATTGTTCACAGATGCTCTCAGAAATGTTGAATGTGAAGACCTAAGCGCATATCACAGGAAACCTCCCTGAGCTTTTAGCCCCAGCGACGAGACTGCACCCACGCCGGTTCATCAGCAGGACCACTGTGGTGCACAACACACGTGGACGTGTTCGTAAACGTCAGGTTGATGCACGTGCATCTGTCAGGAGCTGAAGTGTTTGAATATGCATGGCTTTGGAGACCTCCAACCATTGAAGACTGCGTATCAAATGCCTGTGTCAGAGCCTATATGAGGTGCGCATCAACTACCAACAAAGCTTCTTCAATGCAAGATGAGTTGAGCAGTCGCCTTCACCTACGCGATACGAAGGCCTCCATCCCAGGCACGGTTCGCTCCAGCAGAAAAATGCACTCACGCAAATCCCTAGCTTCTGAAAGCATAGATTTGTTAATCAAATCTTCTAAGTTGTGTATGCAGTAAAGGTGTCATGCTTCTTCCAACTGACCGTTGAAGCACACGGCCTTCTTGCATAAAAGCTTCTGCCACAATCTGATCTTCAGCTCCTAAGTGCCAACTTCGCCAATTTTCCTCAGAGATGAACCTGCGCGTCCTGATCTAGCCATTACATTCGAAGATCTCGACGGATATTCGCAGTAAGGTTGAGGGATTCTAGTGCAGTTTGGTATGCAGTAGGTGAGTAGGGTAGGATGTGTATCGCCAACATGCAGGTTGAGGTTCTACCTGGTTTCCACCTGTGTAAGCATCGTGCTAAGCCATCTCCAACAAAGCCGTGCAGCAGCATGAGCTTGCCAGTCACCAGCCGACCATGGTACTTGAATTTAGTGACCGCAAAATAACCTGCAACAACCTTGCTTTTGACCAGTTTGTTACACCAGCACACTTCGAGGATGTGACGCTGACGTGGCTCAATCGTGAACTTAATCAAAATAAGATCAGTGTGAAAGGTTTGTTCAGCAGTTGCAGGTTAAACGACGCTAGGTTTCCTAGTCGCCACTAACCGCACTGACCTTGTACATCTAGAAGTTGGGAGAATCAGTTCGAACTGCCACGATGCAAATACCATGTATTGCCGTTCCATAAATGCAACGTGTTGATGTTATGGAGACATGCTTGGACACTGCAGGGCTGAAATTGATGCTAGAGACAGATTGGACAAAAGTGTGGACCAAAAGGTTGCTTTTTGATTTTATAGAGACATGTTTGGACACTGCAGGGTTGAAATTGATTCTAGAAGAAGGACACAAAACATTGAAACAAACAAGCATGTAGTCTGAAATCACATATGAATCCTCCTCAAATGCAAGCACTTTCTATAAAATGATATATCGACCTCACTGACCTCACAACGCACCATCCACTATCCACTCTGAAATCAATTATCAACCTTCTACTACTCCAAATGCTTTCTATAGAATCAAAACTAGAACCTCTATAAGATCTGATGCATCTTCATGCCTTTTCTATAAAATGGACTGGCTCAACATGGCTCAACCTATTGGGCATCAGCCGAGCTGACCCAGTGAGTGGGGGCCATCTTTTAAGGTAGGTTGAGATTTCATTCTATAGAAAAAGTGTCTATAAGATCTGAGGGTCAATTTTGTGCTCAAGCTCCCCGATTCTATGGGGTGTATTCGGCAGGGGATTCTACAAGAATGATCCAAAACTCAGGACTCGGAACTGTAATCTATTCATGTGTATCAAGGTTATCCAGGAACGATCATCCTAGAGAGTCAAAACCAATGATGTGTGCATGTGTTCCAACCATCGTCTGTACCCCGCTTTTCAAACGATCCCATGGGATCCTCAAGTCGCCACGGTTCGCGACCGTGGAGCGACCCGTCCGGAAAACCGTCGGGTGCCAGGAGCACCCGTGACCCGTGACGGACGTTTTCGGGCGTGGAATTGGTGATTCTGCAAACGTCCGACGAATCATGACCATACCATCCAATCATCTTCCAATCACTACCAGCTAGTCCAGTCCGTCCAGTCCGTCCAGCTACAGTCTCTCCCACGGCCACCCGTCTCCTGAGCTGCGAACTGCAAGGACCGCACGTCCTTGCTCATGGCCTCCAAAGAGCGGAGAACTGGGCTCGCCCAGGGAGCAGGTACAGTAGGACTTAGACATAGAACCCTTATAGGAATAGCCCTTGCTACCGACAGTTGGTCCCCAGGATTTTCATATAGCGCAAGCAAGGTCTATCTTAGGAATAGAAAGACTTGGACATATAGCAATCCCTAGCAATCCGACGGTGGCCCCGACAGTGATGGTCACCGTCCGAATTGGACGGCGACGGTCACCGGCGGTCGGTTTTTGGCGTGTCAAGAGAGACCGAGAGATGTTCGCCCCGGCTCTCGGTCCATGTGCGTTCTTTCTAGGGTCGAAGTGGGAGGTCTTCCCAAAAAAACACACCCACCATGTATGGTGTTCAAAATGATGATCGATATCTGAATCTTCAGATGCTGAACCCGTTCGTTTTACGCCATACGTTCCTCGCGTTCCATGAACTTCATCGGGCTCGCTGGCATGCTGGCCGCCTTCAGCACCAGCTCCCGATCCTTTCGACACTCCTGGCGTTCGAGCGGAGTCAAAGAATGGTTCAGGTTAGGAGGCAACATGGGAAATCGAGAGAGAGAGAGAGACGCCAAAAAACAAAACTATTGTCCAGGAGTTACAAAGGGGTGGTGTTTAGACTGTTTCCACCCTAGGTGAGTGATGTTTGGGCACACCCTCCATTAATTAGGAACCCCTTTGGAACTGCTGGGTGAAAGTGTGAGTGTGTGTGTTTTTTGGTTTGAGAACTTGGTTGTTAGTTGTTTTGGTAAGGGCTGGAATATCATTTTCAACTTGCGTTTTTCTTAAATATAATTGTATTATACAACTGTTGGAACTTGGAATATGATGGAATATGAAGGTTTGGGCGAAATATGGTAAGATTCATACCCTGACCATCCTACCTGGGTGTCTTGGAGATCCTCGTCGGTAGTGGGCTGGGTAGTTCAGCCAGGACACCCAAACAGGATAGTATTGGTAACATGCATGGTAAAAGGTAAAATATTGTAAAACAATATGATGATGAAACAATATATGTCCATGACTATCCATGACATGCCCACGACTGGTTCTGGTAAGTCATGGTCATGGCCACTTCAATCCTCCTTCATCAAAACAATCAATCTGGCATTTTTTGTCCTTGATGATAGAGCAGATTCCAAGATGGGAGCCTAGCCCACCGTTGGAACAATGCCCAGCCCATCTCCGAACTCACTAGGAATTGCGAGAGCTCATTCATGCTCGTTCTATAATGCTAGCTCTATATTCATACACTATACTCAGTATACCCCCTGGTACTGACTGGGATCCCCCGGCATTGCAGGAGTGAACTTTCGAGGTGAGACAAGCAGCGCTGAGACTCTGAGAAACACGAGTTTCTTTCGGCGAACGGCTTCTTTTCAGCCCTAAGAATCCTTGGGCCAGAGGTGTGCTTTTTCGGAGTCCAGCCAGGACACCCCAGGATGGTCTCGGCATAGATTTGACCCTGGAGTAGATGCAAAAAAGAGGATGTGTCTATGCACCTTGTTCACTCCGAACTCTGAACGCCCGCAAGACGTTGACAACAGCGACTCGCAACGTGTTGGGAAAACCACCATGGGCGACGAAAGCCACCAAACACGGAGCACCAACGCGACGAACCTCAGGACAAAGGAGACGAGAAGTCGACACGGGCTCTGGGATTTTGGTGTCCAGGAAACCAGAAAAAAAAACATGCACACAGGTGCACACATGTTTAACACAACTCATGCATGGAATAAGCGGAACAGTTCCTTGCTTAAAGGATCTTAAAGGAAAGAAATACGAACATCTTACCTGGACCTTAGCAGGATTCATCCCATACATCATCATTAGGCCATCTGATCACCCGACGTCACCCCATGTCACGTCGACTGCCCCCACCGCGAGCGGCGAGGTCATTCCACACTGTTCACCCGTTCAACCCGCAAAAGAACGACGGTCTCCCTGGACACGGGACGCTCGGACGGACCATCTCAAGCATGTCAGTTAGTGTTTGTAGTGTTTGAGAAGCCGAAAGCCTTTCGAAAGTTTTCACATGATTTTTTCATAGTTTCTTTCAGTGTTCAGAAATATCACCATGTAAGTAATCTGCCCCCGGAGAAAAGAGATATACTGTAATCAAGAAACGGTCTCACGCTGGTCTCGGACAAGAGTCCGCCTGGTCTGCCCACTGCAAAGCCCAGCCGTCGTTCTTCACAGCTTTCAGCACCACCTGGCGACGTCGCGGCCTGTCCGTCGTCGTCCGTCGTTGTTGGGAGGATGTCAGCGGTCGGTGTCAGGTACCGTACCACCCAGACACGACACATGGGGCTGCCATCTGTGCCTACATTGGGGTGGTGCCAGGGGGGGGGTCAATGTAGGCATATATGGCAGTCCCATGGAGTGTCTGGGTAATATACCATACACCCAATTGGTTGTCCACTTGTGGTATCCCCTCTATGAATCAAGGAATATCCAAGCCCCGGTGGTCGCAAACGTGTTGGCTTCCATCACCGGGTGTCGGGCAGGGTCTGGATGGGTTGGGGAGTGTTGAGAAGGGGTGTGTAGGTCTTAGTAGGTCTGTAGCGCTTCCAAACCATCAAGGTTAGCAGCAGCAGATCGTTTTGTTGTATCGTAACTGTCCCAAATGACTCATGGGACTTCAGCGATGGGGTGGTTGAACAGAGGTGGTTGGGCAGGTCAAGGCAGGCCAGTCCCGGAGCAAACTTTCTCAGTCTTCAGCTGAGTATCAGCCTTCAGCCAAGTCGAACGACAGGTTTTTCTTCGAAGCTCCCAACGTGAAAAAGAAATACTTCTGACACGGACTTGATCCCAACCAGGCACTTGGTATCATTTGCAAAATTGGTACTTGAACTTAACTAGGTGAAGTGACACATGATCATACTTGATCAACCAAATACACACGTTAAACGTCCACGTTGAGGCACCGCTGGCGCAAGCGAAACGGCAGCTGCTACGCTCATCATGCACGAATTCGTCATGAACAACGGTTCCCGGCGGAAGCTCCGACATCGCTCACCTGCCTTGGATGTGGCCATATAGCAACGAACAAAAAGAAACAGATTCCGCCCGAAAGGGAATTCATCATAATTCATCCAATCTGCGGGGCAAATCAACTGAAACATACTGAAACCATCCCCCGATCCGTCCAATCAGGCTCCTCATCTCTCAGCCCAGCCGCCTCCTTATCAGCCCTCAGCTGGGGCGCTAAGAACTGCAACGCACGGCCGTGCCTCGGCTTGCTTTCGCCCTCGCTCCGACGTCTCGGTTTCAACGTCGGGTGTGGCCCATCCGTTCAGGCGATGGCCATGTCAGACGGATGGATGAATAGCTGTCTTTTTCTTAGAAGGTGTCTGATTTGGGAGGAGTCAACATGTCGGAGATCGGGCATTTGGGGGGTCAATGAGGACCTCAAGGAGAGATCACCAAGACGCCCCATCCCTCCATGAGGGGCCCCAAAGACGTCTTGGAGGGATCCCAAGAGCTAGATCCTAAAGACTGCGAGTTATACACCAACCATCAAAGGGGTCATCAATGGAAGCCCCAGCCCACTACTATTACGGACCTCCAGACAGGACACCCCTTTTTCAGGTCCAGGAAGGTGAGCCTCAGACCTTGCCCCCAAAGAGTTTTCGGGGGAGCGGACCGAACGAATTGGAGTTCGTGGTGTCCGAGGGCCCTCATGGAGCTGGGTGAGGTCTTCGCCTTTCGTACGGCGCAGACCTTACTATTGCAGGATTAGTTACGGCAAAGCAAACTAGTTCATCCTTGACACGATTAAGCTATATTAAAGGCAACCCAACACACCAGTCCAAACTGGATGAACCAATTCCTCGGATGGCGGCGATCTGAGTCGCCCTTACACGGCCAAAGCCTTTAAGGCATAGTCTTTCCGCGCTGGATCCTGCCATTCCGTGGAAGCTGGACCTGGGAGACCCAAATTGCTATCTTAGAAGATCTTTCGGCACGGCCATCAGCGGCCTCCAGGTGGTTCTAAATCTGAATCGAATCTCAAAATCATGTCGACAAAAACTCCGGTGCTTTCCATCGCACATATTACAGTATTACATCTTCAGCTCATGCTCTTTTCCCTCCCCTCAGCTGCTGCAGTGGGACCCTTCTCTCGTCAGGTCAACTGCTCTACTATTCCTTCAGCCGACGGGATCCCATTCCTTGACAACCAAGTCAATGGAAGAGTGAAGCCCCTTCAAGGCTTTCTCCGACATCGCACCGTTAACTGCCAACAAAATCGTTACTCACGATGCAAGAAGCAAGCACCTTTCGCCCGCTATTGGCGTAAAGAAGGATCTCCAAACTGTTCTATTTACTGTTGAACTATTGTAAGGATTAAAAACAACACATGCAAAGGATTGTCCGTCTCAAAAGAGCAAGGCTTGGTCTGAAGATGCAGGTCTGCTTATTTCGTGTACCCTCGTTTCGGCTTGGGCTGAGCCAACAAGGATCCTCACTGAAAACCACCAAAGACAACACTCAGTGATCCATCACAACCGGATCGATCCATGGCGCCCCACCGACCGGGTGGCCGTCCCCGTCCCCACCGACCGGGTGGCCGTCCCGACGTTTGTCAGAATCGTTACGTAGCGAATTCGGGTGATTCTCGACATGCACTGTGGGCTGGTAAAACCATCGAAATGGGTTTCTTGAAGTTTTCTTAGTAAAACTCATCTATTCCAAAACAGGAGAGAGGCTTTTGATGGCAAAAGCATCTTGTAGCAGCCTGCAGCCGGGGGACGTCGAGCTTTCGGTGGGCCCCAAAAAGCGAAACAAGGCTCCGAAAACGTGCTGTGCTGAGACCATCGAGAGCCCTGGTCACACAAAGTCTTAACAACCATACCGAGCTGCAGTCGGGCGACCGGTCGCTGCGTTGGGCGACCGAGCCGAGCGGCCTGTTCTAAAGTTGTATTAAAAAAGTCCTCTTGGGCCCTGAGAGTCAAAGTGTTTCAACAAGAATGGTCTCAGGAGAGCTAGAAGAGAAAGAACCCACCGTGGGTTTTAACGCACGCAGGAAGCCTTTTCGTTCTGTTGGGCTGGTCATGAGCATTTGGCTAAACAGTGTGTTATTTGATTGAGTCAGCACGCCAAAAGCAGTTGACTGTCAGTGCTTGTCAGGTGGTTACAGCGGCTGCAGTGTTCTACAAATCCATAATGTCATCTGACCTGCAATGCCAACCAAGAAACAATAAGAAACACCATGTTCTTCAAAGCGCTGACTCAAAACGGCACCACCTGTTCCATGAATTTTGAATTACAGCCAGGTCCTTGGATTCCAAACGCACATCTCTTTCTACCCCAATCTGACGTCGCTTCTTCTACTCATCTACTCTTTATAGTGGACACATGTGGACACGGTCTGACCTATATAGTTCGTTTCTGTAAAATAGATCCAATCCTGCTCAGATCGGCGTGCGCCGTTCCATTGGCCTGCCCCGATTGGGCACCGGAAAAGACGGAAACGCGAACCCGGGGGTTTTGGTGAGAAGAATCTTCCATCACCACCGTTTTAAGCTGGATTCCTGTTTGCATGTTGCGGAATGACACCAAGTTCTTCCATACCTTTCTTGAGGATTCAAGTCGTTCCAAGTTCTTTCCTGTGAGGAAAAGTGCCTTTGGGGGCCCAAAATGGATGATCGTGGCACACATCAAAACTCGACAGAAATGCTCGACAGAATCTTCGTGACCCGCAGACTTCAAGAAGACTGTCTCGGGATGGGCGATTGAGAGTGTGTCATTGTGTGTCAATCTCTGAGAGTGCTCTACAACCAGATCAAATCCATCCAAATCCATCAAAATCCTGCCAATTGTCCAAAACAAGAGTAAGTGCAACGAGAGAGCAGCGGACAACATTACTTGTGTAGCACCATACCATTTGACATGATTATCGTTTGTGTTGGGGTCCATATCGTTCTCCAATGTTTCTCCAAACCGTAGTTAGCATAGCATACCAGCACATAGGCTAAAACACAAAATATAACTCTTGGGTTCTTGTGGCACCGGGCGCAAGGATCACAACAAATAAGCGGGGACCTAGTAGCTCGAGCCAACGCTAGCAATGTGGAGAAGTAGGTCTACGGAGTGCCTGGCGTGACATTTAGGTTATCGTTCGCTTATCGTTTGGATTATCGTTTGGTTTGGAAGGTTGTCTCGGGTTATCATTGATGAAAAGTTGTGCCCATTGGTTTAGCTCAAATATGCTCAAATCAACATGCAAATGCAACAACATCTGGTAACCACAAACATCTTTGTACCCACCACATCTTACTGTAACAAGATGTTTTTTGGTGGGGACCATATCGTTTTCCACAGAAACAAAGCCCTCAACATAGGTTTAAGGTCATGCCGTGACTAAATAAGTCAACAAATAATGTTGTTCGTCGCGCAGCTCAATTCCCGTCTTTTGGCGCTTCCCGAGCCATGCGACCTCCTCCCGTCGTTCTCGCGAGAGGCGCATGGCTTAGACCTTCGCTTTCGCCTTGCCATGCGAAACGCCACGCAACATACGTCACCTGACCGTCACCTTGACGCTCAACAAGAGCCCCCAAAAAAAGAGAAAAATCACACGTCGAGACGTGGAAAACTTGAGAGAGGAGGGGGTGAACGAAAGGTAGCAGGCAATCACAAGCAACCCTGGTAAAAGTTCATGACGGCGTGAACCGGCGGAGGGGGGATTTGATCCGGGGGGGGGGCGCCCCCCCCCCGACGAACAGAATCAACTCTTACAGGACCAAACTCAATGCACAATCCCAACTCCTGATTGTAATACATTTTTGCTAAAGCAAGGAGAACTCAGGTAGCTCAAGCTACCTTTCGTGATAAACCAGGACCTTCCGTTTGAGGTGTCTATAAATAGCCTTGTAAAGAGGTGATTTGGGGTGTCTGTTGGAAGGTCCTGTTTTGTTTGGATCTCACATATTCGGAATCCACATCGTCTGGTTTGGTCATGGGTGCAGTTCTTCAGTTTGGGTGGCTGTAGCCGTTTGTCATGGAGGTGTCCGCTGGTTGTCATGGACCCAAAAATCACCTGCAGCACAGGCATCTGAAAGACGATCTTTCCATCAAACAAATCAAAGAGTATATTGAACAAGAAAGGATCAAGGAATTCTTTCAGGGTCCTTTATAAAGATGTTGCGTGGAGGATGAATGCACAAGTGCGAGGAGCGTTGTCCACCTGTAGTATGTCACAACAAAGAGTCTGACGGTGGCCTGGCAAGCGCATTCATATCTTGTGTATGTTTGTATGGAATATTGAATATACCTACATTGACCCCTGAAGCCTTACATTGACCCCTGAAGCCACCCCAACTGATCGGCAAACACGTCATGCATAAATGCAGGGTCTGTTTGGGGTATGCTGTTCAGCTACAACATGAGGTAAACCAATCACTTTTGGTCTTTGACTTCACCATCTGCCTCCCCCTCCCTAAAACCACCCCCCCCTGGATCCGGCCCGTGAACATCTGCCTCCCCTGGACCCCTGAGGATTCTCCTCTACCACCCCACAGGAGTTTCATGCGGCGGCCATGACGCCCGGAGCACGACGTGGTGACTATCCGACCGCAGAGGGACGACGACCGCACAGCGGGAGATTGTGGTGTATCCGACCGGCCGAAGGGTCAGGTCTACCGGGCGCGTGGCTTGTGTTGGAATTGTCCAGGTCTACCGGGCACCAGTCGTTGGTTCACCCAGTCCTTCCCTGCCAGATCCAAGCAAAACGCTTCGCCAACTCGATCCTGGAATCACACAAAATTGGCAGCCAACCCAAACACTCCATGGGACTGCCATAAAAATGCTTATATACATTGACCCCGCTTTCACCACCCCAACTGATCGGCAATTGTGGCAATCCCAGACGTGTCGTGTCAAATTCACCCAGTCGCTTCGCCCAATCTATCCAGTGAGTTCGGAACGATGTTTTTCCTGAACGCGGGCTCCTCATATTAGAGATCACCTGGGACGGATCACCAAACACACGGGTTCGATACGTCCACGTCAGCAACGTCAACGTTCACACCCCGAGGTCCTGTGCGAAAACACACGGCAGAAAAAGCTGAAAAGCCCAAGAAACGCCCACGTCAGTCCATCGGATCCCATCGCGGCCTTCGCCTTGCTTCGCACGGCGGCTTTCTTGGCCTTGACGGGCCGTGACGGGGCGTTGAAGGAGTCGGAAGAGTCGGGCCCCAAAGCGGAAGAGTCGGAAGACACCAGTCATTATAAGATGTCAATGATGTAGATCTGAAGATCGGAAGGGGAAAGGCATGTTGTTCTGCAAAAAAGGCCGGTGCCGTTGATGGTATATTGTGTATGCATATCCATGTGGGTATGTCTGGGTGGACGTTTTGTGGGAGCACAACCAATCCCCTTTCAGCCTCTGATCAAACGATCGCCGAATTCACATCGAGGAAGCTCAACTGGCCGAAGTCCTTTCCAGCTGCGTTCGCGAACTCTCGGCCACTCACTCCTCATCTCCAGGAGTCTCCAGGCCACACCATCAACACGTGCATCGGTTGGGTCTATCCCAGTAACGTTAACACTTGATTAGTTAGCAATCCCCGATTATTGTCTGCGCCCTGTCCGGTTCGATTAGTGACCCATCCCTGATTATTGTCTGCGCCGTTGGGCTGTAATCATATCTGATTGCCATCTCCTGCAATAATATCGATCTATGGTCGCATTGCTACAATTAAATCGTGTATTTTGATTACTAAGTATAGATTTCCTGTTGAAATAATGTTGATTCTTGTCGTTTACTATTCCTATTGATTTCCTTATTTAGGATTCCTGTTGATCTCTATTGACTCTATTGATTAACTGTGAAAGTGAGTTTTTTTTGTTAACTCCCTTTATTAAATCTTATCAACAAATATGACAAAAATGATTCCACAAAGAGGGTAACCCAGTACACTAGAAATCATGATGAAGATCACCCTCCACAATAATGTCTTCTCTTTAGGTCTTAAATTAAAAGACCTCCTGCAACAGCGTCCTTTTGAACTCGTTTGACTTCTTTTTGATTTCCTTTGATGTCCTTCAAAAATATGTCTGCTTATTCCAGAATCATTCCTAATTCAGGAGACTCATGGATTTGACTAGCGGTAAAGGGAAAAGAGACACACTAATCAAGAGTCAACCAAAATATGTAAAAATCATGGATGATGATGGTTCAGTTGGCCAACCGCTCCCAATTTAGGGCGGTAGAATTAGCTGGTGCCACCGACCCATCGGCTCCTACCTGCACCGACCCATCAGCTCCTCTCAACCCACCAGCCGTGCCTTCTCGGCTGCCTTGGCCTTCTTGACCTCAAAGAAACGAGACCGGGGTCAGAACAGCTCAGAAACCAGGTCCGGCCAACCCGTGGGGTCCAACCCGAACGGGAGAATCCTCATCTGCCAGATGCATTGGGTGGGGTTCAAGTTTAGATCCTATCACTCTGACTCGCGTTACTACGGGAGTGGATGGCATGATCCCTTCAAAAGGAATGGAACATCCGGAAACATCTGGACTGGCCACATGATTGGTTCACTTCCCATTTGTTCATGGCTGCTCGAAATGTGCACTGAAAAAGGGACTGGCGATCGATGCCATGGTATTCTTCGTTCGTGTCCCCGTGGAATCTCGGCCTATGGAAAGATCTAGCATCCAAACATGCAAGACGGCCTGGGCTGCATGTGAACAAGACAGGCCGGTATGTTGAAAAGACATGCCTGGTCTTTCAAGCAAGCGCTCCACTTTGACAACATACTGTATCTAGGTAGATCCTATCATGCATACAATATCATACTAGACCATACTACAGAAATAGCCGATGACATTCACCTTCCCACCGCTTTCTGCATTTCCCGCGCCTTTTCTGCTTCCTTGGCTTTCTTGGCCTGACCACTTCGTGGACCACTTCGTGGAGAAACATCGAACTGGGGGAAGCGCTGTCACACGAGGGCCTGACTGAGGCCTACACTCTGACGAACACATCATTTGGAAGCAGAAACAAATGGACAAATTCAGGATCTTCCATACCCACTTGCCATTCATTTCATGTATTCGTCGGATTGCATGGCTTGTTGTTCGGTGTCATGTGGATTTTCTTTCCCTCCCGCGGCCACGTAAGACGCAGGTTCCAGGCTCTGAAGTGCTGGGACCTTCCCGTTATGGGTCCAGACGACTGTCCGATTCGCGTGAAGGCAAAGTTCGGAACTGAAGGAGCGTCACAAAAAGAGTGTGCGTTGCATACCCTCAGTTTCCGTGGAAGATAAAGGTTAACAACCTCTTTCCTTTTCACCTGTTCTTGTTTATATATAGTGGAGAAACCAATCAACAAAATGGAACCAAACCAAACCGCCCTCTCTCGGGTAGGACTAGGAAGACTCCGCAAGCACCGGGCTTTTGTTGAGATGTTCCTGTTGGAAGATAAATTATTGAGGGTTCCTACTCCCTGGAAGACTAACATGGACCCTTGAAAGCACTGGTTGGTAGAGGAAAACACTCTTCCAGGGGGCCATTGTCAGGGTCTATGTTAGTTTTCGGGAGTGTATTCTAATCGACACCAATTGTTCAATCAAGTCCTCTGAAAGCTGCGCACATGGGGCAAAGCATGGCAAAGCTTTCAATCAACTGGACCCCCCAATACGATCTGAACAACCAATGATGCTGCCTTGCCTTGGATTTGCTTAAGGAACTGAGAACAAAATCACCAAAAGGGGATTCTTCCATAGGAAAAATTTATACTATACAGTATATCACCCTAGGCAAAACCAGGTTGTGCCTGGCTAGGCCTCTCAAGAAATCCGGTGATGTGACGTGATTTCTGGTCACACAGTCACACATCACCAGCGACCGAGACGGCTCATGCGCCAGTGATCTCAGTTGCTCCTTGGCCTTCTGAGCTTCTTTGGCCTTCTTGACCTGCACGGAGTCGCTCGGTCACGTCGCACGTAACAGTCTGCTCCAAGGGACACGTCGCACGAGTTTCGGTCTGTGTGGTCATGGAGTTTTGGACGATTGAAATGGACAACAAACGCCACCTCTGCTGGAATAAACCCGCTCTCGGCTTTCGCACAGGTTGAACCCCGCTATCTGCGCAATTGGTGGAGTGTGGGGAACTCCCTTGTCGGATCCCACCAGGAGATTTCATGGGTTGGGTCACATGCCCAACCGTTGTTTTGCGGAGTGGAAAGACTCGAGAAAAAGGTCGGTCTTCTCGTTGACCGTTTCTTTGATTGAAGAGGTATTCGTGAACAACATGTTTCAGGACTCCCAGAATTGGATGGTGAAAACCCATGAAAAAACACCTCACCCTATAGCTGTATTGGGGTCCTCTCTCTGTTCTATTGCACAGCCCGGAGTGTCGATGCTCCGGGGACCGAACTGCGGCGTTGGCCTTCTTTACCTGGCGTCCCCCGAACTGCGCAGCGAAGAACCGAACTGCGGTGCGAAGAACAGAACCAGCAGTACTTTCAGCAGTAAAAGATTGAGGGTATAGCCATGCCTAGCTATGTGCTGGTTCTATGTTTTGATCGATTTTCGCTATGTGCTGGACTATGCATCATCGCACTGGAGTCGCCCTATTTGTTATTTTTTTTGTGATTCTTTCATGTTCTTTCAAGATTAAGGCGGTTTACTAGAACACTTTGTTGGATTTCATTGATTAGTGAATTAATGCAGAACTTGCAGTTCCAGTTTCGACAGCACCGCCTGACAAAATGAAAACCATGTTCGTGAAGGTTGCAATCGTATCCTTTCTGTCCAGTGGTTGAGCCTTTTAATCAAATCAACCTGGTGCTCTCCCGCGCCTGTGTTGATCCCTTGGCTTTCTTTGCCTGCTCCGTGCTTGCTTCAAATGTATAAATCCAAACATATATGTACGCTTATACGTACATGTATACATTACAATCATTATATGTATGACGTTATTTTTTTACATACTACAAATACATACAAATACAAATTACTGTAGTCCTACTTATATGTATTATTGTGTATTATACACTAACTACATATTATATTACAATATATTACATAACCAGAAATGCATACTGCCTCCTTTGCACGCTGATCTGTGCGGAAGACATCGTCAGTGACGGGGAGTGTCAGGTGTGGAAGATGCGCCGGGGACCGTCTGCCAAACGCTCTCATGTTCCAAAAGGCAATGCGGGTTTAGGGTGTGAGTGAGCACACTTCCTTTGCTTGACAAGTGTCAGAATGTTTCGGCCAACATCAACGATTGGCCTTCTCAGTCACTTTGGCTTTCTTGGCCTGCAAGCGGCGCAGAAACTGCTAGCCCAATGGAAAAGACCGTGCGCATCAACGATTGGCCTTCTCAGTCACTTTGGCTTTCTTGGCCTGCAAGCGGCGCAGAAACTGCCAAGGGAAAAGACCGTGCGCATCAACGATTGGCCTTCTCAGTCTCTTTGGCTTTCTTGGCCTGCAAGCGGCGCAGAAACTGCTAGCCCAAGGGAAAAGACCGTGCGAATGCAAACAACATCTGAAGTTGAACTGCCTCCTCTGAAATGAATCTATATAGTGAGTGTATAAAAATACAGTAGTCATATTTACAGAATTTTACTTGACTCTCATGCTCATCAGAAACACCTGCCTGGCTGTCTGCCTAGGAGATTTTCACTGGGGATGTCTTGGCGGTTCCAACTCTTGAAAGTTGTAAGGCTGTTGCAAGCCCAATGGAAAAGGGGG